ACAAGTTTACGTTTCTTATTTCTTGGTTGATCGTGATGATAAATATGGAGTGGTTGCCAGTTAGATGTTAGCATTTCCGGAATCGATATCTGATTAATGTCGATTCTTTTCGATGCATATTGCCAGAAACTACTATGTCCCTGATTGGGCCCTTCTGTAACTTGTACAGCGAATGGTCGTAAACTTTTTCATAAACACGCTTGAATAGGTTATGCAATTAATAAACATAATGATGTATCGAAATAAACAAAAACAGATAACTTGTTGAAATATTAAAATGCCAGGAACAAGTAGCCCAGATATTCGACCAGGCTGCCAGTTGATTGCTATTATTAAATGATTAAATAAACGACAGTAGATTATTTTCTACACAGTGAGAAGAAAAAGAGAAACGTAATGCCTTGGTAACTAACTACAACTCCAAGTACTAAGTGGTAAAGCCACACCTAATTTGTGTGTGTGTATGCGTGTATGTATGTATGTTCGATATCGATGAAGTAGTTCAAATTGAATGTTAACAAAACAAAATAATCATTGAAGTAACATTCAAACTTAAAATAGAACCAGATAATAAAAATTGATCAGATAATGTACTACTAAATAATAAGTTGGAATAGAAAACCAATTTATCATAAGGTAATCCACTTTGTAATCATATGATATTAAAGAGTTGATGGCATCCCAATCAAGATATTGTAGTAATTAGTCTGAAAATTTGTATGATAGAAATTTAATTTAGAAGATCCTGGGCTTAATTTCATATGTCCATTATCAAATACTTATAAATCGAGGATGATGTAGATGTTTCAAAGGTTTCCCAATTTCTGATAGTTAACTAGTTGATGTTACTAGTATAGGGGCTGCGGAGATTATTAAGTTTTTTTTATTGAGATCATGGACCGATTGATGTTAGACCAACACCTTTGGAAACCTGGAAGCACTGGACGGCCGTTTCGTCCTATTGTGGGACTCCTCAGCATCCACGATTCCGCTCACGGGACTCGAACCCAGGGCTTAACTTACTGGACCGCTGAGCCGGCACCCAATGGTGATAGTTTCTAACATCAACCAATCCACGAAATTGCGCGACCAACTTCCATTGTACTGAAGTAGATACCTGTCTCTACCCGACATGAATTAGCTCTATGTTAGTTGGAAGCGAAATCTATGAGAAGGGAGACGGTTTTCTGAAAATATCATACAGTTAGTTCCCTTTATAAATTTAAATAAAGCCAGGACAAATATTGATGCAGAATAATATAAATTCATTATATTTCATGGTTTCTCGTCAGCTGCTTACAACCAAATATGTATTAGGGGCCCTACTTAATGATAGTCAAACTAAGAATATATTTCAGGAACAACTAGGAAACCAGTCAGGCAGCTATGTACGTGATGTCCACCCTGAGGCAGCATGGAATGATATCCGAAAAGGTGTGGAAACAGCAGTGATATCTGCTAGTACGGTAGACCGTAAGCTTAGGGAGAAACATTGGATCTCAGCAGCCTCTACCGCACTGACAGATGCTCGAAAACGCATTCGATCTGGCTCGGAACATAACGAAGAGCGGAGTCAGCTTAAGGGCAAGCTGACAAAAAGCCTACGCAATGATCGTGAACAGTGGTGGGTAGCGAAAGCAAGAGAGATGGAAAAGGCGATCTCCAGTCGACTTGAATGGCAAGTTGATGTAGATCTTCCGACTCTTTACGAAGTTGAAAAAGCTATAGGAAATCTGAAGCGTGAATGAGCAACAGGCCCTGACAGGTTTCCTCCTGAGATTTTTAAGGATGAAGGTCCAGTATTAGCAGTGAGATTAACTGAGGTCTTATGTAGAATTTGGGAACTGAACGTAATTCCATCTGACTGGTTTCAATCACTGATTGTGGCAGTCTATAAGAAAGGACAAAAGTCCTCTTGTGACAATGACAGAGGAATCAGTTTGACAAATATAGCGTCTAAAATACTAGCTTCAATAATACTTCGACGCCTAACTAAAGCTCGTGAAGAACAGACTAGAGAAAACCAGGCTGGTTTCCGACCTGGACGTGGTTGTATAGACCAGATATTCACACTACATCAGGTCCAAGAACACAGACACACATTCAAACGCCCCACAATTGTAGTATTTCTCGACCTTAAGGCGGCATTCGACTCCGTTGATCGTGAGGTTCTATGGCACTGTTTGTCATTGAAAGGAGTACCAAAGAAGTACATTAACCTTGTAAAGGCTCTCTACTCGAACACAACTGGTAGAGTGAGAGCTTATGGCGAACTGTCATCAGAATTGATTACCTCAAGTGGTGTTCGTCAGGGCTGTCCACTCTCTCCATTCTTGTTCAACTTTGTCATTGACATCCTATTTGGTGAAGACGCTGATAAAATGCAGTCTTCCGACCACTCTAAGCAACAATGCAAGCATGTTCGGGATGCGATTCTCCCCCTCAAAATGCAAAATGTTGCTTCAGGATTGTATTGCGTTGACACCCGAACTAATGATAGGGAGTGAAGTAATTGAGCGTGTCGACCGCTTCACTTATCTTGGAAGTCTCAACAGCCCTAGTGGTCTGGTGTGTGACGAAATCTCAGCACGGATACAGAAGGCTCGACTAGCTTTTACCAACTTGCGTCATTTATGTCGTAGGCAAGATATCCGTCTATCGACCAAAGGACGTGTTTACTGCACAGCAGTTCGTTCCGTCCTATTTAATGGCAGTGAAACATGGCCGATAAGAGTTGAGGATATTCGTAGGTTACTAGTATTCGATCATAGGTGTCTTCGAAACATTGCTCGTATATCATGGGACCATCGAGTAAGTAACACAGTTGTTAGGAAACGGATACTAAGTAAGGATGGCAAATCAATTGATGAAGTAGTGAAACTTCACCAGTTGAGATGACTGGGACACGTGTTACGTATACCTAACCACCGGCTGCCCCGACAAGCGATGTTTCATGGTGTAGGAGTAGGTTGGAAGAAAGCTAGGGGCGGCCAAACCCAAACATGGCACAAATCCATAAAGTCACTGACAAGTAGACTGAGTCATGTTGGTAGGTGTAGACTACCTGGTTGGGATCCACGAGATGATAGCAAACGATGGTTAGAGACCTTGAATGACATGGGTCAAAATCGTTTGCAATGGCGCAGGTGCATCCACCTTTTGTGTTCTCCCAAATTCTAATCTTCTGAATTCTTCATACTCCTTTCTTTTTGTCTCTTTCCAAATTAATTTCACTCGATTATACTCTTTGAATAACATCTTCAAACCTTAATCTTTCCGATTGCTGCTTATACTCTTATTACCTCTACCACTACGGGATTCGGATCGATAAATGCAACACAGTACTAATGTGGTATGGCAACTCGAACTGATGTACGTACGTACGAAGTTATACGTTGTTCTGACTGACTGTTTTTGTTTATTAGTTTTATTCCTCTCCCATTACCGAATTCTTAAACCACCCGTTCATTCACAATTTATCTTATGTCACTGAATTCCACTCAACTAATACACCATCCATCCTTAATTATAACACCTAATAACCTCTGACCTGTTCTTGCTAACCTTTGTCATTCCAATCCTTTACATTCACTTGTCAATTGATTTCACACCATATCTTATATCAATGTAAAATTCTAATACATATTTGGTTGTAAGCAGCTGACGAGAAACCATGAAGTATAATGAATTTATATTATTCTGCATCAATATTTGTTCTGGCTTTATTTAATAAACTAGTTTACGTTACTTAGGATGTTCGAGTCTGCTACTGAAATATATACGAGTCAAGACAGCTACAGGAGTGAGAGAATCAGGAGTAGGAATCATTTATTAGATAACCGAATGAAATACATATGCATAAACCCGTATTCTATGTTTACTTGTATCTTCCTAATATTATTTAGGAGTGCAATTGACTATTCAATATAACTTCACCCCATTGCACAAGCAAATGGCTATTAGGACTCAAGAGCTAAGTGAATAACGAAGTGGTGTTTGAAGCGAACAGCACTGGGTTCGAGTCCCAGAGTGGACATAAACTCTGAGATGCAGGTTTATCCAGCTGAGTCCCGAATAGGAAACGCGAGTCCTGGATCCCACTGCAAGCCACCATCCATCTTTACCTATATCAATCTTCTTCAGAAAATCAAAGATCTTTAACCCATTAGATGTGTCCATTTTCTCGAAAACTTAAGCCATATTTTGACTAATATCATGAGCCCATCAAGATCCCTCACTTATTATTTGGCTTATACCTAATCAAGTATAAACAACAAGTTATGAAAACTCAGAAGTGCGTAATATTTATTGAATAAACTATTGAGAATTATTAAGTCTGTAACCATGACGTAAATTAACACTTGAATCCCATACTCAACAATAAATATACATATTTCAATAGTTGAGTCCAATAGTCAATTGAAGCTAGACCACCATGGAAAACCTGGAGGCAGTGGACGGCCGTTTCATCCGATTGTGAGACTCCTCATCAGTGCGCAACCACGATCTCGTCCCGTGAGATTCCAACCCAGGACCTATCGGTCTCACGCGCGGACGTTTCGACCACTGAGACGGCATCCAATGGTGTTATTGTTTAACTTCAACTAATCCACAGAATTGAGCGACATATCGACTATTATCTTCAGTGAATTACTATGTCACAACAGACCAGGTTTAAATCCACTGGTCACTGCTTCGCACCAGAACTCCAGTCACTAGCGTGCATATGTTGATTAGTATTAGAATGTGTTTTCATGGATGCTTCAATAGTTGAAATCATGAGTCAATTCCAGGTTTTCCATGGTAATCTAGCTTCAATTAATTCATGATCTCAACTATTGAAATTACTATAATATCTATGAAAACCCCATCTGATAAAAATGTATATGTTTGAAATACTCTACAACAACCAGGGATTATTCATCAGTAGGCTTTGCTGTTAATACTATCATAATATAAATATACATTCATAATTGTGATAACATTGAAAGGTTTCTTTTCCCGTTTATCCTAACCTCTTTCAACAAATAAAGATAATATGCATGTGATTCATATTTTAATTTTGCAATTCTATAAAAATTAAACATTTCATGCAAATCCACATATAGGTAATTAACTGTTCTAAGCAAAACGTCGGCGAAAAAGAAAAGGTGAAAGAAGATACACAGTATGTGTGTGTGTATATATGTATGTATGTATGAACTGATCCACATATATGAATCTACACTAATAGAAATAGTGTACTTTTTTGTTTTCACTGCGTACAAGACAGAAGGATAAAACTAATGTATATCATCATCACCAAATAGATAACATAAATTAAAACTATACAAAATTTCAATAATTAAATATTGTTTTATTACTTCTTTTGCCTCTCCCCCCCTCGTTTTTTTTGTTTCTATGTTTTCATTAAATTAAATATGATAGATAAACAGAATGACAAAGAAAACAAAAAGAAGAAACTAAACAATTTTACATTATTCTTATCGATTTGAAGCTTTCTCTTCAATTTTACGACATATTTCTTTAGTATATTGAGAACAAGTTGAACGACCGCCAAGATCCGCCGTAAGATACTATTGAAAATAATAAGAATAAAACAAACAAAATGAACCATCGAACAACATTATAGAAAATTTAATAATTACTGATAGAAATCAATAAAGGTTATGGGGTAGATATATGAGTCGATTCAAGTTGTTGTAATACAAAAAGAGATGAAATGATTAAGATGAATAATAATAATCCAGTAGTAAACAATGAATGAGGAAGAATAAACATTGAAAATATGAGCTGAAATACTGAAACGTAAAATTTAGATAAACAATAAATGTATTAGAGTCGTTATGATCGATTCTGATCATGGTGATTTTGTGAACTCCAACTAAGTATAATCTACATCTACAAACATGACTAAGACTAATAGTCAATGATAACTACATGGAATGATATAATGTTATTGATTTGACCGCTCTTAGCTTTCTTCTAACCTATTCATACACTAGGGAACAGAGTCGATCACGGTAATTCTCAACAAGTGAACGGTTGAAAGTACATAAGTAAAAACATGTCAAAATTGTCTGTTTCTGAACAGATACAAAACTTATGGTTACAGAAAATGAAGAGCGAAAAATCTACACGAGCTCGATTCTGTATGCTGAGATACTAATAGCTGATACGGACAACAACAACAACATGTTGGCCGGACGTATTGGAAAAATATATGTACCCAGCAGCATGGGGAAATTGATCCCCACCCCCAAGTCCCAATAAAGAAGTTGGAATCTATGATGATCGGTATACTATAGTCAAAGAAATAAAGATGTTATCATTAAATAAATCAATATTTATTCAGATCCCTGAGAATAATGGAAAGTTTTTCTCGACTTTACATATATATGCTTTACTGATGGATTCCAGATACTTCGAAACAAATTAGATGCAATTTACTTTTTAATAATTGATTTTTTTTGATCGATTAGCAACACTTACAGTATTACAAGATGTTGTGCATATCTGTTAACTCAATGATTAAACTTTAAACTTGATGGGAAAAGCTTAACCAATATATATTACAGGTTACTAAATTTAGGAAGATGGTAAAATTTCAGAATTGCATTATAAAGTAAACTTGTAACCATTCATTAGACAAAATCAAGAATTATTCTACGAAACAAGTTAATAGAATGTATGAAAAGAAAATTAATTACGAAGGTCAAATTTGATAACTGAATGTAAAGATAAGTTAACATATGAGGAGATATCTATCGTTGAACGATAAAAGAGTTGAAAATGGAAACAAAATGTGGTATTTGGCACTTATTCAAAGTTTCCGTTAACATCCTTTAATCCATCATTTTACATCTGAACACAAACCATGAGATATCAAGTCCATTAGATTAGTGAATGAATTGCAGCTTGATGGATAGAATTTGATCAGCACTAAGAACTTGATATAACATATAACACTAGTCATCGCAACTCAGTGATTAAACAATTGTGAATGCTGCCAAGTCCATTAAGCATACCTGACTTTGTATTTACAGTCAAAGTCTCAGCTTACAGTGGTTTAAGAGAACATTCCCTATATTTAATATCATATATATGTGAATATAATACACAAATAGAGAGAATACTATGGACAAATCCCCATCTATTCATATATCATTTAACACAGTTGCTAAGTGGACAACGTAATGACATTTGAAGCGAATAGTACTGGGTTCAAGTCCCGCGGAGTGATCATCAACTCTGAGATGTAGGTACATCTACCTGACTTGTACCAAATAGGACAAAATGCGCGTCAAATCAGATTCCGCTGCTAGCCACCATCCATATCTTCGTTTAATTTAAATAGTTAATCACTATTAAACTGTCATTCATCATATACAATTTCGATCAATTTTTGTTCCTATGACCATTATTTTCACATTGTATGATGATATATATTACATTATATGTCTACTGAAAACTATCATGATAGTGTTTCCGAATAAATTTTCTAGTAAATTTGTCATTATTGAGCCTTTTTTTTTTCATCAAAAACGAATATTAAATTATGCAAATATTTCAATGTGACAAACAAAATATGTGGTGAGTCAGTTAATGTTAACCTACAAGTATTATGGTAACCGTTTGCATAGTTGAAAGAAAAAACAAAACGAAATAGCAACTAGGAATTTGGATAGTTAAGTGTTTATATATATGATATTAAATAGGTGTTTACAGAGCTTAATAATCCATTATACAATTCATTCAACCAGTGACTATAATTAAACAATTTATATTGATGAAGAAATTTTAGAGAAATGCAAAAACACGAGAAAAGAATAGAGAAATGACAGTGTTGAATTATAGATAAAAACTTGAAAAAAAGAAGAAGACTTTATAGCCCCCACCGCCACTTTCCTATTTGAAACAGTGGATTAATTAGAGGTAATATAGTTACCATAAATTATAGATTGGCTTTCCTACTTAAATGTATATCAATATCACGTGGATCTAAGAATTGCTTGATATTATGTATAGGTATATATTATATTACAATATACAACTATTTATGAAGTACACTAGACTACCACCAATCATGGATCAGCTGATGTACGCACACACACACAAAAGAAAAACTTAAGTTGTATAGGATATACATCTTGTGTAAACAGGTCTACTAGTGCTACATAAAGAAGTAAAATATAGTACTAAGAAAATAATACACATTTGGTCAACAAAGCCACCCGTATGTATGATCATATTATTATGTATTATTTCAATCGGAAGTGTTATAGTTTGACTTATTCATTATCGTTTATATCTATTCATTCTTTATTGAAAAAAGTACCGAGTCATTCAAATGCAAAGTTATGTTAGTTATTCAACTTTGATAGCACCAAGAAATGTTTCAGTCTTAAAATTACATCGATAATTATCAATTATAATACAGTAATAGTAACATTTCATACTTCACTTATATAGTCAGTTTTATATGAAGAGTAATGAATGAAAATTGTAAGAAATACTTAAAACTATTACTATAGTTATCCAGTCCTATATTGTTTATCATGGAGAGATTTGAAGAAAAAAGTGAGTAAAAGAAATTGACGGATTCATTACAATTGTTAGTGGTATTTAAGCAAAAGGACAAACATTAACATTTCAATGAATTTTCAGTAATATCTCATTATAATGTCATATTTTTTTTTCTGTTTTGCAAACAAAAACAAACTTTTAAGCAATGAAATCTAGGATACGCGTTTCGTCCCATTTGGGACGAGTCAACTGGATGTAGCCGCATCTCAGAGTTGATATTCACTCCGAGACTCGAAAAACAGACTTATTCTACAAAAAAACTGAAAAACTATATCTACAAAAAGAAAACTGAAAGAGAAGTTACTCTACTCTATACACATATATGTTGACCTAAACCACTGATTGAAAAGTGAACCCAAATGACTTCAACACCAATCACACATCTAATGGGGTGAAATGTAAACATCTACAATTTCGATCACAGTATAATGAATCAGAACCAACTATCTAATGTTGTTTGCTTTATGCAAAGCAAGTTTTATGATTTTGAAAGGTCCCTTATAATCGGTTGACATCACAATTTGACCATTTTATAAACAGTCAGCAATAACGTATTCATTACGCCATTTTCAGCTTAGTTTTAATGAATATGATTGTTTTATTTAATGTAAACTGTTATTAGTATTGACCTTTTCAAGTGACCGATTAGATTAAATAATATACTTTTTTTTAACATCTATTATCAATTGTATCGTACGACGACGGTATGCGTAGTATCTTGTTAAACATAATTCAATATGATTGATTGAAATAATTTTGTAAAATATGTTTGCAATACATAATTGTATATATAAGTAGTATAAAAGGATTGTAGAGACACGAGAAACAATAGCGTCAAAATGACTACGTGTTTTTTCAATGCACCAATCAAGCTGATGAATCCCAAATAGGACGAAAATTGGATTATTGGATCACTGAGTAACAGTTTCATTGTTAATACAAAAAAAGAACCGAATTTAATATCATACTTAAAAAAAAAACAAGAATCCCATTCATAAAGATCGATTATGACAAATGTACTCTCTCTTTCCTCTCATTGACATAAATAATCGATTATCAGTCGTACAAGTTTACTCGACTAGTTTCATTCACTCGAATGTTGAAAATAGTCTAGTAGTAACAGAAATCATTGTACAATCAATATATGATGTATAGTCTTCTAAATAACCATTACAACACATATCCAGAGGAATATAACACAGAACCAAATTTTATTTATAGTAAACTACGATTATAATTTGTAACAAATAAGTAACAGACAACAATGATTACCAATGTAAGTTTTATAAGTAATAATTGTAAGTGAACGTATTATCAACTAGTCAGCAATCAATGAGACTTTTGTAAGAAAAAACTCTATATGATTTATTAACTATTATGATTGTAATAATTCCCGCTATGTCAAGTATCAAAATACTTTAACATTTTGTGATACCAGTTTACTTTTCTATTTCTTGTTCGCTCATTTCACGGTTTAAGTTACAGCTGGTTCTCGTATGACGGTTAACTTGGTTGCCTAAACTGAAATAATTAGAGAGAAATTCGAACTAAACAACAATTTTATATGAGCATTACTTGTTTTAACTACTACACAGAGGCTACTGTCCCAATTTGATACATTTAATTAAAATTAGCATAGGAGAGAATGTAGAATTTCTCTAGTTTAGATCACGAATTGCTCATAATTGGACCAGCACTGTGAACCTGGAAGCATTTGATGACTGTTTTGTCTTGGTATAGGACTCTTCAGCAGTATGTATACGTGATCCCACACGCATAACTAGAATTCAGGATCTTCAGAATTGTACCTGGACGCCTCACCTCTAAACTACTGAGTGGGCATCTAACAGTGCTAATGTCTAGCTCCAATTAACCCACAATATTGCGTAACCTTCATTCATTGTTCGCGGTGGATGACTGTCTCATACTCGCAGTGGATTAACAGTCTAGATTGTCACAGCTCATAAGAGAAATTTTGCATTCATTGAGA